AGTTCCAATTCTGCCTATAGCTTCCTGGGTTGGTTAGAGGATGCTTTGACAACCCAGGAACCCAGATGGTGGGATTGTTTAAAGCGCTGGATGTTTAGTCTTTTCCAAGTGGGTTCTTTTGCCAAGAGAACTTTCTTCAGGTGGTACCATCTTGCCTCCCCAATACCTGATATTCCAGCCTGTGTTGCTAGAACACCCCAGTGGTGTTCTATTATGACTAGGAAAAGAATATGTTTTTCTTTTGCACCCAAGCCTGGCCTTAGTATCTACTCTCCATTAGTGAACAGTGATCACCAGAGTACTCTAAATTATGATACTATTTTTCAGTTAGATCTTTTTTGTAAAAAAAGATGGGGCTCGGCGCCTATAGCTCAACCGGCTAAGGCACCAGCCACGTACACCTAAGGTGGCGGGTTCGAATCCCCAGCCTGGACCTGCCAAACAACAATGACGGCTGCAACCAAAAAATAGCCGGGCGTTGTGGCGGGCGCCTGTGGTCCCAGCTACTTGGGAGGCGGAGGCAGGAGACTCGCGTGAGCCTAGGAGTTGGAGGTTGCTGTGAGCTATAATGCCATGGCACTCTACCCAGGGGGACAGCTTGAGGCTCTGTCTCAAAAAAAAAAAAAAAAATAGATGGGAACTGGTCTGAAGTGCCCTATGTGCCCTACATAAAAGTTTTCTTTTTTCTCACAGACAATCCCCAAATTATCAGGTTTCCAAATCCTGTCAAATATATCCAATTCTCCTGACCATAGTAACTTCTCCAAATGTTCAAGGATTCGAGACAGAGATGCTGTGACACCTAGTTCAAAGCCACCATCTATTTTTCTGACACCTTCCTCTGTGCCTTTAGAAAATTCCAAGAAGGACTCTGTTCCAAGAGTTACTTTTGGTCCTATAGGGACTCCCAGAAAGCAACTGTATCCTTCTTTGTATCCATTGGTTGAGACTACAGGTGGTGAATGGGGATATGCACATGTATTCACTACATTTTCCCTGGCACACTTAAAACAAATCAAGGTTCATTCAGAAAAATTTTCTATGGCCCAGATGTTCTCCAAGGGTTAGAACAAAACTTTGACCTCTCTTGAAGTAACATAATGTTGCTAGTAGATCAAAGTAAGGTTCACTGAGAAAAATGAAGTCTTGGATGAGGCTAGAAACTAGGGTAATTTGTGGTACATAGCAGTATGTCTTCTGACGGAAGGGATGAACAGGCAGTTGCCTTTGAGGATTCAGAATGGGACCCAGGGAAACAAGGTGACTGGTGGCATATACATGTTGTAACATATATCATGAAAGGTTTATATCAATCAAAATAAAAAAGCCTATGACTTATTCTAATTTATATACTACTTACCAGAAACAAAATTAAAGTTCTTCAGCCTTTCTTTACATGCTTAGGGAGGCAATAAGAAAACATATCCAGTTGACACCTGACTCCTTAGAGGGCCAAATTATTTTGAAAGTTAAATTTATCACTCAAGCTTCCCCAGACCTTTGAAGAAAACTCTAGATATTGGCTCTAGGCCCTGATCATAATCTGGAGAACCTTCTGAAAATGGCCCCAGTGGTCTTTTATAATCAAGATCAAGAGGAAGAAGAGAAAAAAAAAAAGGGATAAAAAAAGAATGACAGCTTTAGTAATAGCATTCTAACACACAGGCACCATTTAGGGGCAAAGGGAAGCCACAAGAGCTAAGAACAAGTGCTTCCCATGTGGTCGGACTGGCCACTTCAAGCAAGATTGCCCATGCAGCACCAACTGCCAGGCAAGCCACATGGCCCCTGTCCAGAATCCAAGGGTGACCACTGGAGGGTATCCTGTCCCCAGAGGTGAAGGCCTCCTGTAACCTCATCAGCCCCCAAACTGTACTTGGAGTGCCTGGGGAAGATTCCCATTGCTCCAGCTTGTGTCATCACCCCTCAAGATTCCTGGGTCTGCCACATAGTGAAGACAGAATTCCTTCTGGACACTGGAGCAACATTTTCTGTGGTGCTCTCTAAATCTTCTGTCCCCCAAATCTATAACTATACAGGGGTTTCTGGAAAGACTATTACCAAATTCTTCCATCAGTCTATAAGGTGAAGTAGGGGTGACTGGCTGTTCTCTCACACCTTCCTAATCATGCCTGAATGTCCTGTTAGTCTTTTGGGGAGAGCTATTCTAAATGAAGCAGGAACAACCATTTATATGAATATGGGATAAAAGCCTACACTATGCCTTCCCTTATTACAGACAGAAATTAACCTAGGAGTATAGGCTACTGAGGGACATGTATGAAAAGCAAAATACGCTCAACTGGTCCAAACTAAGTTAAAAAATCCCACCATCTATCCCAGTAAAAAACAATACCCTATAAAAACAGAAGCTAATAATGGGCTAATACCCATAATACAGAATCTAAACCAGGCGTCCTCAAAATACAGACTACTGAAGACATTTATCTGACTCACCAGGTGTTTTTGCTGCTGTTACCTGTCCTGCTTAGCAGCCAACTCATCCTGGAGCTCACAGTCTGGCCCTCCAATGGTCTGAGGGACAGTGAACTGGCCCCCTCTTTAAAAAGTTTGAGGACCCTGATCTAAAACAACAGAAATTAATCCCTTGCAACAGTTCCAAAGCCAAATGGGCCTCAAAGACTAGTACGAGACCTCTGCATTGTAAACGAGGCAGTCATTCCTTTCCATTCTATAGTTATAAATCTATATAATTTATTACTTTAAATACCTGATAAAACTTCCTGTCTGACAGTCCCAGAATTTAAAGATCTCTTTTCTCTGCTTCCTCTTCATGAGAATTCCCGACACCTTTTTGCTTTTGAAGACCCTTTTTATTCCAACATCCAGCATACATGGACTGCATAACCTCAGGGATTTGGGGACAGCCCTTACTTATTTGGACAAGCCTTGGCCCAAGAACTGAATCATTTCTTACATCCCACTGTGATATTTATTCAGTAAGTAGATGACGTTCTTTTGAGAGTACCAGCTGCAGAGGAATGCCAGAAAGCATCCAAGCTATATTAAATTTTCTAGATGATTGCAGGTACAAATTTTCCAAGGCTAAAGCCCTATTATGTGTGCCTAAAGTGCACTATTTGGGTGTCCAACTTTAATAGGGAAGAGACCTTGTGCAAAGATAGAATAGAACAAATATTGGTTCAACAAAAGCCTTGAACTCTCAAATAGCTTCAAGACTACAGGCTTTTGCAGACTCTGGATTCCTGTATATAGTGAAAGAGTTAGAACACTTTATTCTTTAATTTAAAATGCTCAAAAAGAGTGCATGATCACTCTAGAATGGACATCAGAAGCAGATAAGTCATTCCAATAGTTGAAACATGCTCTTTTACAGGCCCCTGCTTTAAGTCTTCCCACTAAACAACAATTTAATCTGTATGCTATAGAGCAGACTAGAATTTCCCAAGGAGTCTTCACCTAACACCGGGGTCCAGTTTTATAAACTGTAGTTTATTTTAGTAAAAAAACAGGCATTGTGGACAAGAGATGGCCACACTGTCTAGGGTTTGCAGCAGCTGTAGCCTTCTTAACCTCAGAGGCAACTAAGCAAACTTTAGGAAGAGACCTAATTATTTATACTTCTCATGACCTTACTGGACTTTTTTTAAAATTATTTTTTATTAAATTATGACTTTGTACATTAATGCCCTTATGGGGTTCAGGGTACTACTGGACTTTTAAAATCAACTGGAAATCTTGGGCTATCAGATAACTGCCTTCTTAAATATAAAGCCTTAGTAGTAGAAAGGCTAGTGATAAAATCATGCACCTGTGCCACTTTGAAGCCTGCCAATTTCCTCCCTGAATCGACTGAGAAAAAAGGGCATGACTGTCAACAAATTATAACATAGACTTATGCAGCTAGAGAAGACTTACAAGAAACTCCCCTACCTAATTCCGACATGGTTTTGTATACAGATGGAAGTCACAAAGAACTCCCAAAGCAAGTTATGTTGTAATTACTCAGGATACTATAATTGAGAGTGGGGCTCTCCCTTCAGGAGCCAGCACACAATTAGATGACCTAGTAAACTTTAACTTGTGCTTTAAAAATTGGGAGAGACAAATAAGTCAATATACACACTGATTGAAAATATGCATTCCTAATTTTAGATGCCTATGTTGCCATTTTGAAGGAAAGACAGTATCTAATGTCCAATGGCTCTGCCATAAAATATCATCATAAAATAGACAGGTTATTTATTACAAGCTTTAAATGCCCCCATAAGAAGTAGCTGTTATTCATTGGAAGTGACACCAAAAGACCTCAGATGATATTTCTGAAAGTAACTGACTTGCTGATAAAGAGTCTAAAATAGCAGGACAGAAAGAAAAAATTCCCCTCATTTGTGAGAGATCACTTAAGCATCATATACCACGATATACACCAAATGAAAAAGAATGGGTTTTGTCCACAAACTATGCATTATTCCTTCAGGTGGAAATGAAATACAAGTGGAATTTTACTATTCCTTGTTACAAGTCAATGGAAAAATACTTAAAACTTTACATCAGTCTTTTCATTTTGGCACTGCAAGTACCCATCAATCAGCTAAAGCTCTCTTTAATGCACAACTCTTATTTAAAACCACAAAACAGATAATAAAAATGGCCAAGGTGAGGCCTAGCCAACATCTATTGCTGACCAGAACAACATGTCTCCTATGGGGGAGCAAGAGGCATAAACTCAAGAACCACCATGGGCTCAAAGAAGCAGCGTAACACTCGATCTTCCCATGCCACTTGCACACTCACCAAGCCCTCACCACAGCAAGGCCAGGGCTATCCTGCCCTCACAAACTCTACTCTTGTCTCTGAGCTATCTCCTCACTAGCAGTGGTGAAATGCCTAGCAACTTACCTTTGCTTTAGCAACAATGCAGCCAATGCCCAGACAAATGCATTGCTGAATGTGGCACATCTCTCTCACTCTCTCTCTCTTCTTGTTTCTATAATATCATGTTGGAAACACGTGCTGGGCATCAGTTTGATAAGGATGAGGGTATAGGGTTTTTAATCATATTGTTCAGCTTTCTAAGTAATGCATATATGAAAGTCGTAGTTGATCCATGAACAGTTTTTCCACCTATACAAGAGGCCTGCTTAGGAAAAGAGACACTTACCTTCCAAAAAAATTCAACAGCACAGAGAAGGCCACACCACAATTGTCCACAAGGTTCCTCCAATGTCCAGGAACAACATGATATGAAGCTCTCCCTGAGGACAACAGAGATTCCTTCCATGGCAACAGCATCTGCAAACTAAAGAGGGAATACATGCATACCTGAGAACATCAGACAGGAACACAGAGGTAAAGGGTGGAGCCATTAAGCCCCTGTATTAAAACCACCAGCAGACCTTCATGAACTTCCCCATATTCTGTGGACACATGAACATGAGTGACTGGGGCTGCAGCTCTCAGTCACATGATAATGGGAACTGCATTACCATGTTCAAGAGCACAGCCAAAGAACAAACTTCTCAGTAAAAGGTGTTTGTCACTCCTTAAGCAAAGTTGCCCTGTGTCCCATCACAAGAGACAAATACCAGTGGGATAGTTGCATGGAAATAGTTTAAGAGAAAACCTCTTCCATCCCCCTTAAAAGGAGATTTCCTCTAGCACTGGAATGGCATGATCCTACACTGCCTACAACCTACATTGCCCCCAGGAGCACACAAATTTACTAACCTTCAGTGCCTCCCTCACAGAGAAAACTTAAAAACTCATAGGAAAACAATACATCATCAAGATAATTATGTTTCTATAATTCTGAATCCCAAAATATTGTCCAGCCTCAGCATGTTACTCTTCCACCCACCATCGCCTTAAAGTTCAGAGCGGACTCATACCTGGCTCAGGATGCTACACAACAACCCTATCATGACACAGCTGGTAATATAAGAACAACAGGACTAAATGGAAAAGTACCCCATGGAAGAAACAAGTGAGGAATGTCCACGTAGAGACCTTACAGGTATACATACCCGAGAAGATGCCACGAAAAAAAGTGAAGTGATAAATTTTCCTCAACCACAATTTACCTGAGGAAATCATAGGCGATACCTTAGCTCAGTACGTTGTAGACAAAAGGCAGCTGGAAACTGCCTTAACATGTAAGAGCTCTCCATTTGGGGGGCTCCAAAAAAACTTGCCCAAGGCCATGATTACACCCAAGTGCCATAGGTGATTTGCCCATTGGACAATCAGGCTGAATCCTCTGACAAGAAGAGTGCACACATAGACCAGCACGAGGCCCCGCAATGGAAGTAGTCACAAGAACCACCCTTTGATGACCTGGTTTGAAATGTCTACCATGCCCTAAAATTCCACAACTCTCCTACCCAGGGCATTGTGTGCGGCCATGTTACTGATGCCACTGATCAGAGAGAACTCCCACTGTGAGTGTCCTGAAGGGATGGCAAGAATGTGAAGCAGTCCATGTTGTACCGCTCTCGGAAAAGCCCTGGTTCAGGCAATGTGCTGGACTCAGTTCTGAAGAGTGAGATAGTAGTGAGTTTCACTCATTTTGTTCACCTTTTCCAAGGAATGTTTGGACAGGGGAATCATCATCAATCCAAGCATGTTACAACATGCTAGAAATTTTACCCCATGGGACTTGGCAGTGGGAGAGCCAGTGATCACTAAGATATTACGCACCCCGGAGAAACCAGAGCCACACCACTGAGGAGCCATTCACGGGAGGAGCTACAAAATCCAAAACACAGAGTTACCCCTCCACCCCAGGAAATGATTACCCTCCAGAGTGAACTGCCATCCTTGGCCACAGAGATTCCAGGATCCCAAGCACTTCTGTCCTAAGAAGGAATGCACTTCATCCTCCCCACTGATGGCATGTCTCAAGGTGACTGCCCCTGAGAAGTGGACACAAATTGCATACAAGCCTCAGAAAAGGATGCAAACACAGAGGTGGCCACTGCACTGTCATCCTTGCCAGTGGAGTAACGTCCCTGTCTTCTCATTGACATCCTGTTTTGCAGTTTCTGCCTTCTCTTCTCCATGAATTCCCCTAAAATAAGTAATGATATCAACACCCATGGGATATGTCGGGTCTCCAATCCGAGATGTGCTCATGTTTCTGTGTGTTTCTCTGTGCTACTCTGCATGTGTGGATCACTATGCATCTGGAACCATAGGGTGCTCCTGTGTTCCTCATCTCCTGAAGGAGCAGTCATGCTGCCCACTGGCTGATCCTGAAAGCATACATGGACTGTGGGCACAACTACAGCCCCTCAGGTTCCCAAGACGCCTGGAATCTGATGACAATGAGGATGTACTGGCTCAGGACCCTCAGCCAGGGAGGCGCGCTTGGCACAAAACCAAAGTCCACTAACATCACTGGACACAGTCACCATCTGAGCATGGACATAAACTGAATTCATGCAAAATGGGCATAGGCAGACTCACACAGGTGGCCTATTGCTGCCTTCCCACATCGAAGCCCTCTCTTTGGGGACTCCAACAATCATTTCCCAGAGTGACAACAACACCCGAGAGTCATGGGTGTTTTGCCCATTGAATGATCGAGCAGAACCCAAGAGGTATGCACATAGTCAACCAGTACCCTTGCACAAACCACCCTGAGGGAGCTTCACCAAAGTCACCACTACTTCAGTGGGCCCATCATGCAGCTAACTTGACCGAACCCCCATCCTCATGCCTCCAATGCAGGGCCCTGAAAAACCATAACACTCGCTGTGGACCCATCAATTCCTAGTCACCCAGTCACCTACAAGGACCACGATCGATCACAAACCACACCCACCTTTTCTCCTTCAACTGCCAGCCCGGTAACCTCTCAATCCAATCCTCTCATGCTACCCCTGTCCACTTCTGAAGGGAATAAACAGGCTTCTGACCAACCACACAGGGAATGGAATAATGAACCCAGAGTCATCAGTCTGTCCCAAGTCAATGGCTCCAATGCAGTACACCTACAGCTGCATACAAATCTACCCTTCACCAAGGCAAATGGGAATGTGGAGCCAGATCACAGGAGACCATGCCCAGGTGTGGAAATTTCCTTCTGACACTTTCAAGAAGCAAGCATCGGGGGTGAGGGAAGAAGTATCCATGTGAATATTGGATAAGAAAAGCTGCAACAACAAACATACTCTGGTGGGATCCTAAGGGACATGTTCCCCTACCAGGAACACAACCATGGAAACATAGTCAGCTGGAAAAGGCTAGGTCACCTGGGGACCAGCCTGAAGACCCTGCAATAGGAGTGGTCACAGGGACCACCCTTAGATGACTTTGCTGGCAATCTCCACCACACTTGACAATTCCACTTGCAACCAGAGACCTGCCCAGGAATATATGGGAAGCCACTTCCACACACCCTGTTGTGGATGTCCAAGCGTGTATATCACATATCACTTCTCTCTGGGATACCTCCCTGCCAGTACCATGAGGACCTTTTTCAGCTCGCCTCCAGCCATGTGGAGTGTGGCAGTGTAAGAGTGTGGAAAGACAGCCCACCCTGCTTTGCTGATCTGCTAAGGTGAGGGCCCAAAGTGGGGGAACCTCAGCCAATTCAGCCTTTTCTATATACCTCCCAGTCAGTCATCAACACTAACCCAGGTCTTACCCAGCAAAGCAGAACAGCAAGGTCATGGTCACCCTGAAAACAAGGTCTATCATTAGTCCTGGATATTGGAGGCACAGTCCTCTTCCTAGACACACACATCCTGCCTGTTGGGCCACCAACCACAGGAGGCCTGCAAGTCCAACTTTGCCTAGATCCTGGAAATGATGGCAGCCTGCCATCAATATGACCACAGTTGCACTCAGAAATCTCCCACCCAGGTAGATTGTGTGCAGCCCGCTTCCTGATGCCCGTACCCAGGGAGAACTACCATTGTGAATGCCCTAAAGGCATGCCAGGAATGTGAAACAATGCATGTTGTGCCTCACTCTGAAAGACCCTGGTTCATGCAAATTGCTGGACCTCAGTTCTGATAAGTGAGACAGTAGTGAGTTTCACTCATTTTATTCAGCTTTTCCAAGTAATACTTTGATGCAGGACTCATAATCGATCCAAGCACATTACAAGACACTGGAAATTTTACCTCCTGGGACTAAGCAGTGGGAGAGCCAGTGACCACCAAGGTCTTCCGCACCCTGGAGAAGCCAGAGCCATCCAAATGAGAAGCTGGTCCCGGGAGGAGGTACAAAGTTTGAAACACTGCATCAGCCCTCCTACCCAGGAAATGCTTACCCTCCAGAGCAATATGCTAGCCTCGGCCACAGCAATTCCATGAGTCCAGGCAACTCTGTCCTAAGGAATGTACATTGTCCTTGCCCACCAATGACATTTCTCTCAAGGCAACTGCCCCTGAGAAGTGGACACAAATCAAATGCACGTTTCAGAAAGGGATTCAAGGGCATAGGTGGCCACTGCATTGCCATCACTGCAAGCATAGTAACTTCCCAGCCTTCTCATTGATATCCTATTTTCTGGTTCCTGCCTTCTCTTCTCCACGAATTCCCCTAAGCTAAGTAACAATATGGACAACCACAGAAAATGTCATGTCTGCGGGAGAAGCGTGCTCATGTTTCTTTGTGTTCCTCTGTGCTGGTCTGTGTGAGTGGGTGGCTATAGGCCTGGCACCCTAGGGCACTTGTGTGTTCCCCATCACCTAAAGAAGCAGTCAAGTTGCCCATCTTCTATACCTGACACCAAGAAAGGATAACTCTTGGACACAAAAACCTACAATGCAAACACCATCCCCTCTGAGTTCAGTCCCTGTGGACAAAAGGCAGGGTTAATTCTCCCACCAACCAAGGCTTCTTCTGAAAGCATACACACACTGAGGGAACAATCTAAGGCCCATTTTGATTCCCCTGATGTCTGACGAAAATGAGTACATCATGGTTCAAGACCCTTAGCAAAGGAGGCATGCCTGGGACAAAACCAAAGTCCACCAACAACACCAGACAATGCGATTATCTGAGATAATAGGTCCATGGCGATATGAATGAGAGTGGGGGAAGACAGACTCCCCTATTTGTTGTGTGCTAAGTTGAAGGCCTAATGATGGGAGAACTCTGTAGCTTAAGGCTTTTCTACATCCCTCCCCCTTATCAACACTGACCATATCTTTTTTTTTTTATTAAATCATAGCAGTGTACATAAATGCTATCATGGAGTACAGTGTACTGTTTCTATATACAAATGAAATACTTTCATCCATCTCGGCAAAGGAGAAGAGCAAGGTCACGGTCAGCCTGAATGCCTGGCCTATCTTTTAGTGGCCTAGATATTGGAGGCCCAGTCCTCTTCCTGCAGACAATGATCTTGCCTACCTGCCTGCCTAGCAAGCCCAAAAGCCTTGGACATCCATCCACTTTTTCCAGTAATCCTTGTGTTGAAAATGATGTCACCCTGCCATCAGTACAACGACCATACGAATCAAAAATCTCCTGTCTAGGAACATTCTGTACGACTATCTTCCTAATGCCACGACCCATGGAGAACTTACATTGGGCATGCCAGGGAGAAATTTCAGGAATGTGAAATAGTGTACACTGTGCCTCACTGCTAAATGTCCTGGTTCAGGCAACTGCTGGACCTAATATCAGATAAGTGAGACAGTAATGAGTTTCACTCATTTTGTTCAGCTTTTCCAAGGAATGTTTTGAAAGGGGACTCATGATTGATACAAGCACATTACAAAGCACTGGCAATTTTACCAAGTGGGACATGACAATGGAAGAGCTGGTGACCACCAAGGCCTTCCACACCCTGGAGAAGCCAGAGCCATGATACGGAGCAGTCATTCCCAGGAGTACATACAAAATTTAAAACAGATCAACAGTCCTCAAACCCAGGCCTTCTTATTTCCGGAGGCATATGCAAGCCACAGCTACAGTGATTGCAGGAATCCAGGCAAATCCAACTTAAGAGAAAATGCACCTCGTCCTCGCCGGCCAATGGCATGTCTCTCAAGGTGACTGCCCCTGGGAAGTGGACACACATCAAATGCACCTTTCAGAAAAAG